CCAACATTGAATTGCAACGGGTACAATACAATGTTACATGGTGATAAGCAGAAAACCTTGTACGTAAGCTGGAAAGCTTTTTAGATAAATCAGTAACACACTAATAATGTAGCCAACCAAACTATATTAAAATTAAGTAATATATAATCTGGTTTTGGTTACAAACAAATAATTAATTATCAATATACAGTTGTGAAGATTGTCGAGTTTATGTTGGTATCATGAATGGATCAATGTTAGACCACTACTTAAAACCTGGGAACACTGGATGACCGTTTTGTCCCAGTATAAGACATCTCGGAAATGCGCATCCAAGACCCCACATGCGGGATTCGATGGTTAGTGGCTAGCAGTAGAATTCAACACTCGCGTTTCCTCCTATCTGGCACTAGTCAGCTGGATGTACCTGCATCCCAGAGTTGATGTTCACTTCGGGACTCAAACCCAACATCGTTCGCTTCTAACGCCATCGCGTTATCCATTTAGGTACTGAGTCCTTATAGCCATTAGCTTGTGCAATGGGGTGAGGTTTAAATTCATTTGGTGTTTGTTTGGAAATTCCCATCGATGTTTAGTACTACAATTGATCAGTTTCTTACTGACAAGTCCCAAATAGGACAAAGCGCGCGTCCTGGTTCGCACTGCTAGCCACCAACCATCTTTGCTTAATAATGCTTGTGAATTAAGACCATATCAAGGCAATCCGCACAGGATGCATATATGCCAATAAGAGACTGATCAAGCGCATTAATAACGTATATTTCGTACAATCGTTGATCGGAAAGCGAAGCGAAACAAAATGACGCGCAACGGAGAAGGCGAATGAGTTGAATAGATTTAGTCAAGAGTGGATCGATACTTATAGTCGAACAAAAATAAGTTACAGACATGTGATGAATTGGATAAGAAGTACACACATATGCGCTCATATAAAAACAGTCAAGGTTGATAAGCGAATAATTGACAAGGTCAAAGTGTGGTTTAAGAAGAATGAATAGATTGATCTGTTCAGAGACTAGAATAACTTATGTGGGCTTGACATAGTACCAGTCCATACAAATTATTGCTTTTCACTTTATGGTGTGATGCAGTCTGGTCTACTTTCATATAAACTGTGTCTTAAATATAAAATTCGTACAGCAGAGGCTGATGTTTGTGTTCTGGACTAAACAGGTTGGGCTAGGAGAGAAGTTACTATACAGAGGACCAATAGGGATTTAAAGTTGACTCAAGGCTGCTCGTGCTAGTTGACGTGTCATTAGTTCAGCACAGGTTCGTTGATTGGTTACGTGATATTTGACGGGCTATATGACATAACAAATCTGCAACCTTCACAAAAATGTCAAGTGCATCCAGTAATTCGGCAAGAATCGGTGTAATTATTCGACCAATCAAACTCTAGATTTGTCATCGGTGTCATTGAATGACATTGGTTACTAATTAGTCACTTAGAATTTTTTATTACCGACCTGAATCACTATTAATGTGTTTTTACACCTTCAGTAAATGGTATTGTCGAAAAGAAAACTTTATTATTTTAATTGTGTTCACTTCTTCTTCAGTGACACAATGGGCTTCTCTCTTTATTCTACTTATAATTTTTAAGTCACAAACTAGATATGCCGGTTTGGGCAACTAGGAAGTGATAACCGCTCTCATACTTCCAATAGCACTCAAGACCAATGTAAAAATCGGAATTAGAAAATACCAAATAGTTATCCAATAGAATTATGATTCCCATTGATTGTATACCTTTCCGTTTTATTATTTTATCTTAATTCATTGCTATACTCTCACTGATAAGAGTTTTTTGTTACTGTTACCCAAATTAATCACACAATATTATTAAACAGTATCTAGTCTAAAATTATTTGGCTCACTGAACCTTAATTATCAAATCATAAACATGAAGTTTGATACCTCCTTAAATTAATTAAACTGATTTCGAAAATAACAACTTTAACCATTTTATACCTTTTTGCAATACTTTTTTTTGCAAGATTTCTCTAGATACATCTTAGAGATTTATATTTACACTAAGTTTCCCGGTTATTGTATTTCGACTTTCTGATCAACTCTTTTTATTACCGAGTGTTAAATCACGTTGTTACTACCTAGTTATTTGAGACGCGATTATCTCTCATCTATAATTAAATTAAACGTATACTAATCGCCATTGAAAAAATAAACAATAACTTGTTGTTTAGCTTTCATTTTGATGAACGACTTTCCAACTGATAATTTTTATAACGTGACTACTAGTCTAGCTGACAGTACTCGATACATACTATTACATGAACGGAGACGATGTTTAGATACTAGATGATGTTCCTTTTTTTCATCTTTAGGGAATCTTTGGGTGCCTTCACGTATGAATATTCAGTTTTGTTACAAAAATATTCAGCTATTCATTCGATGAAAACATTGATACAGCACTTCTGATTAACTTACTTTAATTTACATATCAGTGTTAAAGTAACCGAGTTAATGTCATTCAGTTAATGTATATTTATATGAGCCTCTTTAAAAAAAATCACCAGTATTAACGCTTTATATGGAATGTCGAGATATAAACTCTCACGATTCGGACTAACTATTTTGCCTGTAAATGTCTTGTGGTCAGAATTTTGTAACTAACCTATATAATTCCCTAGCTTAATTAAACTTCTGCCTTAGGGTACACTTAGAAATCAGGGATCTTCATAAGCTCAATAATCTGATAATAATGAAGCACAAGTCGTATTATTATATTCATGAATTCACTTAATTTGGAATTAGAAAATTTAAGTGACTATTTCTTGCTTTAACAAGTAAAGTCATAGCATACTGACGCTCACGAAAACAATCAGACGTTACACGTCATGAATAGTTTAAAGTCAGTGAATACAACACTCTTACAACGTACTACATTATCGAAAAAACAATTAACAAATGTCCACAAAAATTATTATTGGAAAACAGAAAGGTAAATAATGGAGATTTTAAATGTGGATGAATATTCAGACCATATGGGATATATAGATCAAGTGAAAACTAGTCAAGTAGATGATTAAATATTGAATCCTTTTAAGGACTCGAAATACTTAGAAGCGTACTGGAAATACACTACGAAAGCCATTTGATGTGACAGATTTGTCAAATGACTAGTTTAATCGTTGCATAGTTTAAATATTTCATTATTAATTGTTCCTCTCTGTGACATATTTATTTATATTATTTTTGCTAGCTATGAATTCTCGTATGCTCCTATTTTCATAATTACATGCCGTATCTGTCAAACTATTATTTTAAAATCCTGTTACAATCAAGAACTACACAATGACCTTAAATACTTGACACTTGTTAAAGTCAGTGTCATTATCACAGCTGAATTGTTGCATTCTTAAGTATCGTTCTAAACTAAACTATTCCAATTAGACTGAAATATGTGCTTCTTTAAAACGAATGATTTCACTACTAAGACTGGAATATTGCAACTATTGGTACATAGCCCATATAAGAGTTCACAAGTACAATATGTAGGTTTATACCAGCAACAACTTCTTATGTGGAAACGATACAATATGCAAAGAATACAGATTTAAATCTTTTATGCCTACAAAATATAAATAATTCAAATAATAATATTAAGAAATGATCTAAAAACAGAAGTGCATTTATATGAGTCGTATATTATCTTTCAACACTATTAAACAATGCTAAAACCACAAGTCGACCACTATTTCTTAATTTTTAACCGTTTCTCAACTAATTTAGATGCATAATGAACTCAATCTTTTTGTACTTGATTCTTATTAAAATAAATGAACAAATAAATTTGTTCAATAAAGAAGGAACAAATTGAGCATTTTTCACCGCCTCACTGAGCCTTGCGCTATACTTCAGATACTCGTTGAGAACCTTTAACGCAAATGTTTGTTCAGAACGTTTCAATATTTACCAAATGGCAAAATGGAAATAAATTTGTGACCATATTCTATGTCATCAACAACTGTTTCAAACTACTTCTATTTAGAAAACATTCATCCAAACACTAAATAATCATCTTTCTTTAAATGATTTATTACCTTATAGTACAACTTAAGTAAACTCATCTCCAAAACCATCAAATACAGAAAAAACAGATAGATAAATAACTTTAGAAGTAAATAATAAACTATAGTTTACGATATATTCTCGAGTTGACCTGCAATTTAGAAAATCCTCATTAGTATATCACAGTTTCTTGGAAAATAACGAGTACAAATCTCTGTACTCAGCTTTAACTTAGTAATACAATTAACTAGGTGGGATAAGATCGAATATACAATTTACCAGTTGAAAACAAACTTTCACAACCAATAGGCTACCTATACACACTGAATCAACTCATTATTTATATTTATATATCAACAGGATTTGTTAATATTTGTTGTTTGAAATAAATCATTTAACAATTTGGCGGTTTCATTTTTTCTTTAAAAAGTGAGTAGAATAAAAATCAATATTACAACGAATATAATTCTATTCACCTATTTTACAAAATATTAATGAAATATGAATAATTTATACATTAGGAAACATGTGATCAAACAAATTACAATTATCAATATTTAATAGAGAACAAAAATTTAAACACATAAAATGAATTAAATTAATACAGTTTAAAGATGACAAAACATACAGTTCATATAACAATAATTCATTTATAAAAAGTCTTTACAGTTTTAGTGGGTACATAATTTTGTATCTATGAATCAATACACTTAAATATTACATATCAACAAATTATTGAAAGTAGTATAAAATAGGACTATTTATGTTGTAAGCAATTTTATAAATCAAATAAAAACAGTCTAAAGATTAATGATAACAATACAGCTTGTAATTTTAGTTTTTTGGTTAATTTGCAGAAAACAACTAGACCCCTATTTTATAACCATCTTTAAGTGAATAACAAACTGATGTTTATTGATTTTGCTTCCGGTTTAATTTCATATTGAGGCTTAGTTTGATTAGAACTATATACAGCTGTCTCCAAGTTTTAAAAAGATGACAAACTGAAATGCGAACATACATTTGTAGACCTCATCTTCCTACATATGAGAATTTACTAAGATTCAATCAAGAATAAATAATAAACCTATCCCACCTTCTAAGCTGATTAAATTTTAAGTAGTCAGTGATATGTGAATGTTCTTTCTTAGTGTTCAAGCTGGTAAATATCAAAGTGGTTAAGCACAACTGATCTGTATTACAATAATGATTTACTTGTGATATGGATTTATGCCTTGAAATCATCGCGCTTTCTACACCGGTAGTCAATGTAAGACAAAGTAATGTTGTACGGAAAAAAGCTGTACAGGATTGGTTTCTATAGTTCTAACACAAACCTCTGATTGGGATCTTAGAGTTAGCACAATCCAGTGGCTTTAAACGCTACCGGACATGACTTAGTATAAAAGCCATTAATGAAGCTATTTGTTTCTCCTATATTCTTCACAACAGAGAAACTCATTTAACTAGAAAAGATTCTTTCTTAGTTGCATTTTTCTTAATTAAACCATATTTGTTCACCTGTATTTTCATTGTATCTACCCCCCATATCTTCACGACAATATTCCTGTATTTGATGTAGGACTTGCGCTTTTGTGCCTAGTTGTGCTATATTTTGTACATTAAATAAAATTTTGAATACCTAACTGGGTTAGTAAAGCAATAAGCTCAATGATATGTGTGGCTGGCCAGTTTTCTTTTTATTTATTTGTTAGAAGGTATGATGCTAAATGACCAGTCAAAAACCAACTTAATATGGCTGTACAAAATTATATCATCTAAGATAGAAAAATGCTCTGTATCTGTACGATGAATGAATTTTGTGCAAAAACCCAAACGTTATCTTATGTCTGAATAGTCCGTTTATACAGCATAACGCCAATGTTAATTCTTTTTTTAAGACCTAAGTTTAAGATTTAAACGTAGTGTTGATTCTCCTTTTATATACAATCAATATAGAAAGTAACTGATCATTTTATGATTTTAACACCAACACCTTTACTCTATGATCGTAAAAAATAATCATCACTTTTGGATTTAAACATTCTCAATACTATCGAAAGGTTTTTTGCTGCTCATTCAGTATATGTGATATAAGACGTCGTTTATTTTTAATTTTGCCCAAAATGCCTGAAATTCACTTCGATTTTGATGTGCTTGTCTTTATATTATACTTTCACCGTACCAACTTAATGTGAACTTAGTTCAGTAAGACACGCAGCTCGGCTTTTCGCAATAATTCTGTTTATTCTTCTTTAGATTTCATACTTGTTAACTAAATATCACGTATGAGTGAAATTAATGTGTGTATTTTTACAATTTGAACAAGCTTTTGTCAAAAAGTCCATTAACAAAACATCATTTATAATATCTGAGGGATACTTACACTTGCTAACAATGGGAAAGTATGAAATAACTATAATTTATCATTGTTAAATACAATTCTACAAAGCTTTTCCAATGTTGTTGCACAACCACCACCAAAACTACATAGGACTGTGTACAGCATCAATCAGAGGGATATGATAAGAAACACTGACTTCCACAAATAACCTAGATTTGTTTGTATCTGTCTAAGTTTAGACCTTTCTACTTTGAACTTAATGACTTAATATATGAAGTGATTAGAAAGAATGCTCCAGTGAAACAGCCGGTCACAGACAACATCAGAAATAGTAATATGTTTTAGTTTAAGTTAGCTCACCTCATATCAGTAAATTTAAACTAACTAGATAGAAATTAATAGAGAGGAGTTAGTTTCAAGTGAAGTGGAGATCTAAATATAAGGAGTATAGTTTGCAGATAATAAATAGGACAGGGAAATGACAAGTATGAATAACACGAAACTCGTGGTTGATAGAAAAATTAAAAAGTGAACTCCACTATGACTGGTTGTTTCCTATTGTCAGCAAACGTCCCCAACCAGTAAATAGGCTGAAATGTTGGTGTCGGATTACATTATTTCCTGTCAGGAACTACTTACACAATTTCTATATTTCGTTTTCAAGTCTCACCTTACATAGATACATAGGGACGGTAAATTAGTAGCTCTATCCATAAAGCTTAAGCTAATTCCGCTCGGATTATTACCAGATATTTCAGAAAATTAATCCAAAATGGAACTTGGTGGTTCATGGATGCAGAGGTTTCTCAGTTGCATACAGTATGGATTTTCGAGTTCATTGAGTAAAACCTATGGTGTGTAGTGTTCAGTTATTGTTTCATCATGGACTAAGTTTCGCTACTTTAGTTTTACTTGTTTTCTGATATGAATATCATCTGTTTCACCATAGTTTTTTAGGTACTGATAGATTTTAATCATAAGGCGGAAATCCAGTTCAGATGAGTGAAATTTAGACGATCAATAAGTTTTCCATTAACGCTATTGCTTCCAAGATCAAAGGGAATACTTCTGTTTCCAGAAAGCCTAGCTCATAAACCTTCTGGTGTACCAATGCTAGCCAATCAACTGATAGTTGTAATTGTGAGACGAAAACCCTCGAAACTCATTCGGAATTTCAAAAATAGAATCCGTCTTGCACGAAAGCTTGGAGCTATTTCGCATATATCTATTTAAATGAAAGATAAACTCAATGAATGGATGAGCTATTTGAATGCTTGACCACAGATTCCGGCGCTGATCCACCAGCAACGACTTGGGCGGATAAGCAGAGCTGTTAACCTACATCCTCTAGACATGGTGTATGGCACCACGTTAGCTTTATACTTGTTTGATAGGAAAATACAAGCTTCTATATGTAAGCTACTCCGTTAACAATACACATAAACCACCTTAATCAAATGTATGACATATTTTCACCCGTGTAAAGTTTGACATGCTTTAAGTATTTTACGTGTTTGATGGAAATACAGTATGTAAAATCACTGCATCCTGCAAACGTAAACTACTTGAATGAACTGTGTATATTCGATAAAATTGGTTGGGATAACCTGCATATCTTCAGATGACATAATTCACCGCAACAGCCTTATTACATCAGAGCTAAACATTACACAGCAAGCACGTGAGAAATCATCGAGTTATCTGAGCTGAATTCCTCCAAAAATATATCTAACACATCGCGGCAAGACTCTAATTTAGGGACGAGCCAATCAGAAGCGTTTGAGCAATTTCAAGGTCACGGAGCCAAGTTCAACACGCAATGCTAACATACGATCAGTTCACAGCGGATTTTAGAGAGGAGGTGATTAATAATAGGTTACAACAGATGGGACGGCGAGACTCTAATTTAGGGAAGAGCCAATGAGAAGCATTTGAGCAATTTCAATTATTAGCCAATCAGAAGGCTGTATAAAGTAAAAATATATTACAAGAAAGTAATGAATTACAGTAGATATTCTTCTTTTACATGATTTAAAAACTTGTTAAGGTTTGATAAGGGCTCAGAAGTTCTAAATTCATAATGCATACGGTATAGAAACTCGTCCATAGGGTTAGGGTGCTAACATGAGATCGGTTTACATCGGATTTTAGAGAAGAGGTGTTTATTGAGAGGCTACAACCCTAACCGTAACCCTAACCCTAACCTCTAAAATCCGTTGTAAACCGATCTCATGTTAGCACTCTAACCCTATGGACGAGTTTCTATACCGTATGCATTATGAATTTAGAATTTCTGAGCCTTTATCAAACCTTAACAAGTTTTTAAATCATGTAAAAGAAGAACATCCACTGTAATTTATTACTTACTTATAATATATTTTCACTTTATACTAACTGTCTTCTGACTGGCTAATAATTGTCAAGGTCATCTAAGATTCGTTCAAAGGTCGTCCCTAAATTCCAGCCTCGCCCACTTCGCAGTTTTGTAAAACAGTGGGAGCGAAATCAAACTTAGAAACATCTATCTAATTGCATAACGAAACTGATCGCTGCAGAAAAAATTCATGGAAAGCTCCATACACAAAGTCAGACCAGTATAAGATAGCGGTGCCTCTAAACAAACGACTGTCCTGTTTAGTTAGCATCTCCCGATTCAACAGAATCCAGAATGACTCGAAAGATTAAAATTATTAGTTTATCAACGTCTCATCGCATATATAAATCAAAGCCAGAAGTCAAAGTGAGACAGAGAAAGTATGTTGCCTTCGGGAGATAGCTTTCTAAAATGTCCTTAAACAAAAAAGTTTATCTTTTTGGGGATTTATTAAAATGAAAAATATACATAAGTAGAAAGCAAAATAACATCTTATATGACGCGAATTTAGCAACAAGTGCTTCCTTAGAATACACAAGTGCTACATTAAAATTCAGTCAAAATTAGGGAGAGATTTACTATTCGAAATTAAAATCCACTGTCGAAATCATCAGACTTGACCACCAGATAAACCAGAAAGAAGATGGTTGCAAACATAAGCGTGTTGGCTGATAGCGTAAGTCCACAAGCACCCCATAATATCTACAAGGAGCAAATAACTTTTCGCTTTAAAACTTACGAGGGGATTTTCTTTAGGTGCTCGAGCAAACAGTATAGGCAGTGCATATGCGGATACTATCACGATTGTGGTCAGAAAAACGCTCACATCCCCCAGTGAAGAGCTTTCCTGGAAATTTTTAGCGACCAGCAATGGAAGTGGTGCTAGTATGTAAAATATCAGCATGAATAGTGGCCACCAAACACTAAACATGATTAAACTCCTAAGTAATTCTGTTACTTGTACTGTGGTAACGCACAGGCTAACAGTAAGAATGTGAATGAAACTGATCCAGCAAGCGAAACAAAAATTACGGCTTTAAAGTTTCGAGTAATGATATCGGTTGTAAAGCAACATACTCCTAATCCCTGTCATTGTATCCCAGTAGCGCCAGAAACTGCAAACGACCTAGACTATTAGAAAACCCGCTGAAAGTAAGGTGACCATCCAAAACCCACCAAGTTTCAGTTTCTGTTCGGAAAGGACAAGAGGCTTGATGGCTTGTGTTAGCCCTGGTTATGACAGTTTCTTAATTTATTTTGCAAGAGTCGACGGATGGAGCCTCAAACACATGGTGAGGTAATGAATTACACTCGATGATGATTCGATGGGAAGTTGGTAGTGTGCTGACAAGTAATTTGTCCTGAGCTTGTGAATTTTCTGGAGTGTCCTTGTAAATCCTCTGTTTTCGAAGACAAGAAAAATGAGGACATATCATGTGCAAATTTATCACTAAACAATTTGGGAACAGTAATCGATTACCTGCTTGCAAATCCTAAATTACATGATACTGTTGTAGAATCCGCCAGAAAATATTTACGAAATTTCCTCAGGGAATACGAATGGTGTTATGGATCTGAAAACTTGATTTACAATGTGCATTTATTACAGCACCTCCCTGATGACGTTCGTGCACATGGACCTTTGGATAGTTTTTCAGCCTTTCCCTTCGAGGCTTATATGAGACAAATTAAGGATTCCGTGTTTAGTGGGTTTGCAGTAAATAAGCAAGCAGATCAGCGTTAGGCTGCAAAAAATGTCTTTCTGCGATAGACTTCAACTTAGCTGTTTAACAAATACCACCCCAATATGCGCTCCAATAAACAAGTAATTATGTTTAAGCAGACGACAGCGTAAACAAAGGGGAAATGTCGCTTATTACGCCTTACGTCGTGTATTTGGGGGAAATTTGTCGACAATTATACGTAAAGTACAGTGTTCGAATAAACCACATCTGGAACTTAGGTTTTCGTAAACGTCGACAAATTAAAGCACCGCTTATTAAAAAAACAAAACTATTGCCATAAAAAAAGTTACGAAATATGGAATCAGGCATTCGGTTTAGACGCATGTACACTGACTTCGATTTTGGCTCAGCTAAGGTGTTCTGACATGCTTGGGAGCCATCACAAATAACTTACGTGATGCAGGTGAGTGACGTGCTCTCCGATTTTCATGTTCATTATAGCTAACTACCTTGTTAGTCCAATACTATGAGATTAATTGAAGTCAACGAGAATGTTCGTAGACGTAGGGCCACTGTGAACTTGTCAAGTGTCCTTGGCTGTCATAGACCCACTTATAACAGAAGGTGGAATAAAATGCGAGCAGCTTTCATGAAGAAACACAACTTGCTTTCGTTCAGTGAGTTTGCTAATGAAAGCAGCAGAAAAGGTAACTGATTTCAACAGTGATGTTTATTGAATTGATTGAAGTGGAGAGAAAAATCAATTGTACTGACAGTCCTTCAACTATTGCACCATGCACTAGCGAAACTAATAAAAAGTAATTACGTTTAACAATATTAATATAACTTCATTTAAGCCAGATAATGTAGTAGTAGTAGTAGTAGTAGTAGTAGTAGTAGTAGTAGTAGTAGTAGTAGTAGTAGTAGTAGTAGTAGTAGTAGTAGTAAACGGGCAGCCTAGTTTAGTCACTGATATAAAGAAGGATGGACTACTAAAATTTAGATTTTTCACTGACCCACGTAATTACTTTGAAGATCCTTTCCCATCTAGTGATATAGGAATCTTTATGTGCCCCGTAGTTAGCCATGAACACACATGGATATCACTTAAGGACATTGATTGTAAATGTATAGCCATCAATTGTATAAATAATCTAGTTATAATCCCATTGTTGCATACTTTAATGCAAATGCATTTTGTTTCACTAGTGTTGAATTAATGACGATCAACAATTTAATTACGTCTTATGTTATTTTTAGCCCACTAACAAGCGATACGTCATTGTTGACGTCCTCAGCAAGAAACAACTTATGATAGCATCCAAGGAGTGGATAGTAGGCAAGGAACTTTGCCTTTTTCCAACGGAGCTGGTCGACACGCACCTGCAAAACTGCGATAAACCAGATAACAACTGGTCAGTTATGAAATGTAATGTAATTTGCGAATTAGGTAAGTAATAAACATAGAAACTATAATTCACTATAGATTGTTTGCAGTCTGCGAAAGATCTATTAGTTTCTTTACAAATACTAGAATCTCGCCGTAAAAACACTTCTACCGATGAAAACACATTGCCACAGAACACAGAAAAGCTCAAGAGGTCTGTACAATAATCTTACTAACATTTCCTAGAGGTGCAATGAAGCATAAAGAACAATTTATTTACAATTCAGCTGACATTGACGTGGCTGAGATGCAGGCTGGCAATAGCCATGTTCAATATCCGAAATTCCGGTTGTTTGACAAATTCGTCTCGCCCATTGCCAAGTAACTTTCATTACTATTTAGATGTTCACGAATTAGTTCGACGCAATTAGAGACATCACCGTCAACATCGGAATCTAAGCATGTCAGTGGTGATGTATCGGACCAGTAAGTCACCTGAATCATCAAGTGAACATTTTTAGGTTCGATAGGTTGCATACAGTGGTGCAGAACAACTCGTCAACTATGACTGACTTTATTCAAATGCTGCAGCAAATGTCCACAGCCATTACGGACCTGATTATTAATGTCAAGCAATTACTATTTAAGTCGAAGGAACGAGAACAACGGCACCAATTCGATTGCGGATTCTCGAGTCGTCAGTTTCCTTCGTCATCTGAAGAGGAACTGCAGATGCTGGACACTGGTTTGCAGCATAAAGAAACCAGGGACCGGTTTATAAGTCATCAACATTAATTTAATAATTTGTTCGTATTACAGATGGCAATGGTAACGAGGTTAATGGATGATGATCCTAAAAAATCAATGCGTCATGTTCTGTCGCACGTCTTGATACCTGAGGTTGCCAGTAAATTTACGTTACTTGGCACCTCTCCAAAACGAGCACTTCAGAAATGCCGGTTTTATGGCTGCATACGAAGTAACTCGTATTTATTATTTAAACTTCAGGTGCCTTAACAAATCGCTTTCTGTCATCCGGTGTCAACGAAAAAGACCTTGCTAAGATGTGCGACATCGCGACACAAGGTTATTTTCACGATATCCGAGACAAAATGATAAAGAGTAATAGAAGGAAACCAGATCAGGTATGTACTAATTTAAAGTGATAACTTCCGTACGGCCCTATAGTTACAACCTACAGTATTAACGAACACAACCGTAAGTTCAGCCCAAATCATTTGGCTGTGCCAAAGCATATCATTCAGATGTCGTTGTGACTTGTTTCGTTTTTTAAACTTCAGAATTCATAGGACGACTATTTCAATTCTCAAAAGTCGAACATACGTGGCTGAAGGTAAAAGTCCGTACAATATTTTTATGTTCTATTTAATTTTTAATAAACATTTTTTGGTAAAACAGCTTGCTTTTTTACTTACATGGGAATCTATTGAAGTGTTGAGAAAGTGTGTTTGATTGTCAGTGAGCTAGCGATTAAATACACATGCCTTATAAATAATATATCATCTGTTCCTTCTTTTGCAGGTATTTTCAAATAACAATGAATAAGCAATTGCTATGGAAATGCAAAACAATCGATGCTGAAGCTTATGCTCTAATGTACAATAATATGCTTTTCCTTTTAAATAAAAATTTATAAAAATATACCGGTTTTCCCGTGGATTGCAATTTTATTTTGGGTTATGCCAACGCATCGAAAATATGGAGTTCTGTGTGTATTTAGGCGAGAAGTAGACAATTAAGCGTATCTGTAGGCGCAAAGTCGACAATTCGGCGGATATTCAGGAGAAAAGTAGGCAGTTCAGCGGATATTTAGGCGAGAAGTCGGTAATTTATCGACAACGTGCCAAAAAGGGGGAAATCCGCATTATTTCCCCCGGACAGGCGAAAAAGGCGACATTCTGGCGCATTTCTCCTTTTATTTCCCCTTTCTCTTCCAATGCATTTCCTCTTTATTTCCCCTTTGTTCGCCTTTATTTCCCCTTTTTTGGTTGTTTGGGCAATCTTGATTCGATATTATTGAAGTTTATCATTATCAATCAGATGAGCTTTCTATCTTTGGATACTTGAGATATAATGTGCTCAGAAAGTTCAGACTGTTGCTATATCTTAAACCCAGGTCACGAACAGTGTTGAGAGGTTTGTGCACAGTCAGATTCAAGCTAAGGCAGCGGCCAATGTGAATAAATCCACTTTTGTCAACATTAAGTGGCATATTCCACGAAACAGTCCATTCGTATAACTTGTTTATTTCCTCTTGGATTACCGCTGAAATATAGCTTTCTTTCGTGGGAGAAGAGAATGAATAAACTACTTACAGGTCGTCGGCAAAAAGGAAAGGTTTACCATACTGAAAGAGGGAACACACGTCATTGATAAAAAGGAGAAAGAGTAATGGACCAATCACACTTCATTATATAACCCCACTGGTTACATTCACAGGCTTAGAGTAGCAAGATCCAACGCGAACGATTTGGCTACGTTCTCCTAAAAAAGATTTGAGCCAAGATAAAAGGGGATTCTGTATGTCAAATGAAGAGAGTTTTAAAAGAAGACGTTTGTGTGAGACACTGTCGAAAGCCTTACTAAAATCGAAGTAAAGAATTATCACTGACTGACCAACATCTCTTCTCTGGGTAATTTGATCAAAAAACTCCAGGTGCGATGTGAAACATGAGCGTTTAGTCATAAACCCGTGTTGAAATGGGCCGATCAGACTAGAAGAAAGTAAAAATGATAATAGCTGTTTGTGAATGATTTTTTCCATGGTTCTTGAGAGCACGGATGTCAAATTAATTGGTCTATAGTTAATAATATCACTACGTGATCCTGTTTTGATTCTAGGGGTGATAAGGGATGTTTTCCATACAGATGGATAGGTCCCATATTCCATAGATAGGTTGAAAAGTTTCAAACAAAATAGTGGAAATTCTTTACTCCCATATTTCACAAATGATGAAGGTGTCCCGTCAAGTCCACCATCATAAGACTTTTTCAGGGCAG